ATGATCTCTGTTTGATGGAAAGTGCGACTCCACAATTCGTGAATATGTCGGTGATTGTTCCCGAGTCGTTTTTCGTGTGTTTGATGAATGATGAGACGTTTTCTGGTTGTTAATTCGTTGTTATCTACGGGTTTCATAACCTGATTTTGCATATTTTTGTCGCGAGTTTTGACTATAGATAATTAAGTTGTCGGTTGTTTTATCGTATTCTGCATGTGTTGATGTTCTCAATAACTGATGACGTAAAGAGCCAAAGTCACCAGAGTTATAGAGCATAGGCAAAATGAAATGCTTGGATAAATATTGACTGAATAATTTGGTGAGTCGCCGATCGATATGTCTTGGTGGATAACTATAAGTCATATACAAAGAATGAGAAACGTGAATGAATACATGAAACTTACCCATTATAGAGAAACATGAGTTTCATTTGTCGTATTTCTTCTTCGAATTGAGACAAGGTTGTTGAATAACGAACTGCTCTCGTAATAGCAGTATCAATGGTGTTTCGAAAAACATGATCAGGCACTAGTACATATCGTCGCACGACACTTCGTCGCAGAAAAATTCTTTTCGTTCTGTTCGCCCCTATCTATTTGTCGCATCTCTCTTAATGAATTATTCTTTCTGTGTACAACCAATGGAAATAACGTACAATAAATGAAATATTGCAAGAGATATGTACGATAGGGATATACAATTAATTTTGCTGAGACATAATTTTAATTCGGTGAAAGGATAAATTAAAAAAGTTTTCTCATGTAATTGTGATAGTGCTAAAGCTAATGAGGACTAATTAGATTTGTTGCTCGCTTCATGAATTTCTGAGTAATCCAAAACTAAAAATAGTACTGATCCGACATTCTTAATTATTGGACTGCAAGTCAAATAAAAAAAATACATTTCACTCCTTAATTTCAATTTTCACTACGTACTAGTTTTCAACCAAAGTGTCTCAAATAGAAAAACTGTTTTGTATAAAATAAAAAGCAATGATGCTCCAAGAAGGTGACATCTATACTGAAAAACGTACAATAACGACTAAATTTATTCTTCGATCTGAGAATCGAGATTGTCAAGCTAAGATCGTTTTGAACATCAATCAATCAATTGAAATAAAAATCATTTATTAATGAAGCTTGTTGTTATACGAATTTATTCCTGAAGACAATTCTCTCACCACTAACATCACACTCCCATGCTCCAAAACCCGATCGTTTTCCGATTATTTAATTAAAAATTGATATTAAAATTCAACCGGTCAACTCCCTCTACTCATCTCACCTAGATCATTTCTTAAAAAATATAGCAGGTGTGCTGATATTGATGGCACGCTTCGATGATTCTCCTTCCTTCTCTTTCTGTTCTCTTTCCATTGTTCTAATATATCTCTCTCCTGTCTCTCTTCTATCTGTCTCCTATATATACGTGTGTTATGTATGAAGTTGTTACACTCTAGAGATGTCAGATGACACAATACACCATCATGCCGACGGACATAGGCGACACTCTCTAGTTTTGTCGTTACACTCTGGATAACTTGAAGTAGCCTAATAAACATCTTTGCCGAGAGTGGCACAAGCTACTCTAATCAAGTTGTTCGTTACAGCAGGCAACATTACTCTTTAGCTCATTTTATTTCTTTAGATTATTTATTTTCTCAATCTGTTCCTCATTATGTTATGTGTATTATGCACAAAATATAGAGAAATTAACTCATAAACTTTCCATTGGTTATACACAAAAAGAATAATTCATTAAGAGAGATGCGACGATATGTGCGGTCACCGAATATCTTTACTTAAAATAGTCAGTTATTTTCATTTAGTCCGTTTGATAACGTGAAAAGAAATTGTAAATAAAGTAGAGCCCCTGTAAAAAGATTTCTAAGGATACAAAAGAATCAATAATTATCGAATAGATTTGTATAAAAAACACGAAAATTATACTAAAACAAGAGCGTTTTTTAGCAATTTTCTACTATTTTTCATTTTTATAGGAAATACAGGAAAATTCATCGAAATATAGGAGAAAAAATAGGAATTTTTTTAAATATAGGAAATATAGGACGAATCCGAGGCCAGCAATAAAGACTGAACTCACATACATAAATTTCATATAAAATCAACAATATTAAATAGAGATTAATCGTCAATAGACTCAGTATTTTGAGGGTGATGAATTATAGTCGAATGTTGACTGTCTACTGATCTTTTTTTTTAGAAACATATTTCTACAATAATGAACTTTCGATTGAATTCTTTATGAGATATTCTTCCATTAACCATTCTTATCGGAATTTTCATTCGGACATTTTCAATGCGTTTGTTCTCGTTTTTTAGCAGTATGAGTCGAAGAACTAAGCTTTGGTACGATAGTGCGACGCTACAAGATGAAAAATTATAGACGGAATACGTCTGAAATTTCAATCGTACGAAAAGTTGCAAGCAACCCTTTCGTATGCGTTATATTAACAATTAAGTTTTTGATTTCAGTTCAAACAAGAACTGAAAAAAGATGGCGCAATATCATGAGGCAGCCAAAAAAAGTGAATGAATTAAGAGAAGAGAACTGTCAACTTTTGACTCTATTCAATCGTTGAATTTGATTGAGCAAGACATCGGTCAATGATTGTTTTTCTTCAATATTGAATCCATTCTTGAATGAGGAGAGAGAAATAAGACAAAGATAAAGACAAGACAATAAATATGTGAAATAGACAACGGCCTTGCTTTTATATAAGGTTGCTGGTATAGCATAGATAATATCAAGTACGATTCAGAGAAATTGAATGAGTGATATATTTCTTGTATAAATAGAAGTATTTTTATTATTATGACTAAAATATTATCGATCAATGAAACGTTTCTCTTATTATCAAATCAATCATTTGAAGTAGAATATAAACAAATGTCTTGTGTTGCTAATAAGAAAATCTGGCTTATCATTCATTTCATCATAACATGTTTAACTGAAAATTTACTTCTTTGCCATACTATTTTTCCGGTATATATGATAATTATATTATTCTTCAATTGTTATTGGAGACGTATAAATAATGCCATATATAGCAATTGGTTAGATATAGATGATCTGGATAGATATGCATTAATGATTGCTGCATTGAAAAAAGAAATAAAATTAATATTCGTTTATGTATATATTGCTTTCCTCTACACATGGCTCGAATTGGTGAATAGCAACTATACAGCAACATATCTGAACTTTCTTCGTTGGTTAATCGAAGCTTCATTGCTTCCACAAATCTTATTTATTACTCTTTTTTCACCTTTTCCATGTATAGAGAGCTTTTTTGAACATTATCATTTATATAACGTACCCGCAATCACGAGCAAAATACCTTTGTTTATCGTAATGCGTTACGCCGAAATTCAATCAGACTTTTTTCTCAATGGACTCCAAACATCACTCTTTAATATATTCTGTTATTGGTCTTCGAAATTCCATTTAATAGAAAAGTTCGATCTTTGACTCTTCAATTAATATTTTTTGCGTTGTTCTTTAAAAGAATGTAAACCAATAAAATTCAATAAATGACATCTAACTTGTTAGCAAACATTGTCCAATTTGATAATTATCCAAGAAAACTTGTCTTTTTATTATATGACTTCTAAGAATAATATGTATTTAATCGATGAGAGTTAGAAAACTCTTTTGCATAAAATAATGTCGTCTGCGCAAAACAAATCAACTTGATTGACACTCGAATGGAAAAGGCAACGAATTGGAAGCATTAGGGAACGGTAGAATAGTGTTCTTTGGGACATTTGATGGTTAGAAATTTTAGGTTTTTTAGATGAAATAGTTATGAAACTCATAGATGGGCCAACGTGTTAAACTAAGCTTTTCCGAAACGAACCGCATATTATTACGGTGATGCGAATATCATTTAACATTGATCTCATATTCATAATATCAATAGAAACAAGAGAATCCTACTTAGTATTGACTTCATTCTTGAACTTGTTCTCATTTTGAGTGTTATTATTTATGTTAGATTTATTTTTCCTGAAAACCGTTGTTATAATGATTTTTCAAGCTCAAGAAATTTCCGGCGAACCCTTCATTCCATTGTTTGGTCACCTGTTAGATATGAATCATGCTAATAACAAATATAAAGGATTAGACTACTTTGGAGAACGTTCAGAAACACATAGTCATTCTTTTCTTTTTGCTTTTGATTCATCATTAATATTCAATTTTTTTAAGTTGTTCCAATGCTGTGAGCAATCGAAAGCCAACTCATCTAATAAATATAATAATATCGTTTATTACTGTTCACAATATTTTAGTGAGCAACGATGAATAGCATGAGCGTGCTCCTAAAATGCTCAATCCAGCTTTTCATTTTTCTCTGTGAGAAAAACATGTTTTTCTAAAAATTCAATTTTCACTTGCTTTGCAGGAAGACATTTTTCATTCAATAACTTTCTCAACAGTACATTTTATAACGAACTAAGTCGTATTTCAGCTATCGTACAAAACCAGTTACAATTCTCTCATATTTATATATTTTATTTGTTTAGTTTTTAATTATGGAAAAGAAGATAATGAATGGTAATAATTGGGGTAGGTAAAGTATGAACAGTTTTTTCTTCCGTGAAAATTTTATTGCATTGATGCAAAAGTCTACGCCGATTTTTTCTTTTCAAATTTTATCGAAGTGAAATACCAGAAAGCGGGTGATCTTTACCGGACGTGGGAGGGGGGGGGGGCTAAATCTGCTTGCATTCTCTTGAATATAACCCACACCCACACCCAAAACCAAAATATGTCTATAGGAAATTACCGGTGGTCGTCTGCAACATTAACTGTCACAAGTCACAGTTGAGCCGTTTTGGGGCTTCAAGATTGTCCGTAGAGGTATACGTATCAATCGGATATAGGTTTTACTTTCATCGAGCACATAATATTTATATTTTATCGTACATAAATTGGGTTATAAAAAATATTTAGATTTGTACAGAAAGAAAGAACGATTATTTTTTCACTAAATTCGAACGCACGGAGATATCTCCCGATAGAGTTTTATTATCTTGTAATGCTGTAAATGCTTTGATCAATGTTAATTTCTCTTGATGTGACATTAGGATTTGTTCCTGTGCATCGGTTAAATCCTTTTCAACAAAAAAAGATGGTCTTATGGTTTTTAGTAAAAGAGAAAAAAAATAAATTTACTCGCGTTGATCTGTCAACCTTACGTTGTAAATCGCGAATAATAGCATCTTGTTCATATACAAGTGATTCAAGTTTAAGAATACGTTCTTCAAGTTGTTGAGATTTCAATGAATCATCATCTGATGTTGGCTTGAAGAAAAAAATAAAAATGTCAGTTGATAAGAATAATCAAAAAAGAAAATAATAGTTACTTTATCTACTCGACGTAAAATAAATTCTTCTGGTAGAAAAACTTTTGTCGATAAAGCGGAATTATTCGTTGTCGATGAAGATGAAGATATCATATAGGAATCTATACGAAATATATAGATTAAAGTTTTTCTTTTCTGCTTTCGTTTACCTGTTTCAGAAATTGATAAATTTTCGTATGAAGATCTATTAAAAATCGAAATTATATTTTTTCGGTTGGTTTTCTTCTATGATTTACTTACTGCATTCGACTAACTGTAAACATCGGTTTAGAACTATGAGTAGAAAGTATCTGAAAAAATATTTTCAAAAAGAAAATATTTAAACGAATAGTGTTAATCATACTGTTCGATTATTATCGCATGATTCATCAAGTTCACTGATATTATTTAATAGTTCTTCATCATCTTCATTGGCAGACCCCTAAAATTTTTTATTATCATTTGATGTTGAATTTATATTTCGGATTGAAACAGAAAAATAGACGCGTCACCTCAGTTAATACACCCGCTACTGAAGCTTCATCAGGATGTATTCCTGTTGAACGACGTTTGACTCTTAACTTTCGTTTTGTTCGTGGATTATTTAGTATAGGCGATTTATTCATCGGTTCTATTGTAGATGATTGAATAACTATGGGTACAGTTTCATTGGATCGATTAGCCGTCATTAGAACATGATGAAAACAACGATCAGTAACTGTTGGTGTCTCATTTGTCATTAGGAACGTGGAGCGAGACATCTGGAGTGAATTAAAACTATAATAAAAATTCATGTATAATAGCCTTCTACATTCTTTTTCTTAGCTTACTTACATGCTGAAAATGTTAGTTATATATCGATGTCTGCTAGAGCATATATGACGTGCTTATTTATACGCGAACTAGTTTTGCCATGTTCGGCATAGTTACCGTGAACAAGACAATCGTAAAACAGATATATCTATCTATAACTAGCTACTGTTGTTATTGATGTCTATGCTTATTATTGTTCTAATCATAGTAGTGTGGGCTGAGTAGAGAAAGTAACAGAAACTTATAGATTTATTCATCAACACGGTCATATTTTCATCCTGTGACTCAAGGTAGACAAGATAACAAGAGAAATTCTTCAAATACGTTAACAAAACAAAAACGATTGTTCTCAAGGACAAAAGAAAACTAGATAAATATGTCGTGATATTTTCTTTGTCTCTTTTACTCAAATAACACATGAGGAATGCAAACAAAACTAATATGGTACAGAACTTACATTGTTGTGATTGCTTTGAAAGTTATCACAACAAATATTTCGGCTCGATAATAGGATAATTTAATTAAGCTAATGATATTTTAGAAAATTAAAAAGAATTTTTTGCTTTGTTTTTGAGAAATACATGAATATTATCTTAGGAGAAAAATTTTGATGAGAATGATTAATAGTTGGCGAAGCAGGAATTTCCCTGTTGGCAAATGAGTATGAAGGAAATATTAATAGGGCTGAAAGAACCGAAAACAAAATTGATTAATGTTATTGTACAAAAACATCTTGTGATTATAATAATAGTCAATATTTTTTTTCCGGATAGAGAGACACAATTATTACTGACCCTTGTTAGTTTACTAGTGTTTATGTAATGAATAGTTAAAATTATTTTCTACTAAAAGTGTTGCATAAAATGTACGCATAACATTTGTCTTGTTAACACATTTAATAAGTTGAGTAGAAAGGTCTATATGACTTACATGCGTTAAATATTAAAAACAGTGTTTTCAAGATCTTGTTGAAATAAACAAGATTTTACAAGGAAAACTAGACATATTGTTTTTCTCAAGAATCCATTAAGATATGTCAACTGAACTTCTTGACAATAAAACTGGTATACTTATGAAAAATTTAAAGAACGTATTGTAAATATTAATAGACTTATTCAATACATATATGGACATTTGAGATATAACATTATCTAGATTTTTATGAATAGAAAGAGATTCCAACTGCATGACGAGAAGGTGCCATTGTATCGAAAGTCAATCATGATTTTATGTTGTTCTCATTCGAGAAAAGGAATCTCCCATACCACACTCGCCCGGGTACTAGTTTCAAAAAGAAGAAAATTTCGATTTTGTTGGAGGCATTCCATCCTCCGGACAATCGTTTCTTTTTTGAAATCAAAATGTTATGAAATTTACTAAGTCAATACTTAGACTATCAATTACACATCGATCGTATAATTATTTCATTCTTGTGAAATACGATCTATTAGGTGTGTTGAAGTACAAATATTGAGTTTGAAACTCGTATCGCCTACATACAATAGTAAACATGTTGTAACGTTGTAAACTATGAAATTAAAAAGCTTCAATCAGTTTGTTGAGCTGAATATTCGAATAGCACCTTGATGTTAACTAAAGGTATTTTTAGAATTTTATCCGTTGATGAATTCGAATACATAATATTCATCGATTTGAAGTTTGGGAAAAAAATAGATTTATTAAACAATGCGAAAACATTCTCAAAAGATAATACATTTTGATAAAATCATAGTTATATAAGCATTATTTACGCATGTGTCATTGTTTTTCATTCATGATTTAGTATTGATTTTTGGTAAAATAAAAGGTCGTTGTGTTGCTATGTCACGTGCTTTTTTTCTATTTGCTGCGTCTTGTTTAAGAATCATCGTATGACGAGTGTATTCTTCCTCCATTTTTTTTGCATCATAAACACCTTTAACAGTAGCGAGACGATTGACAAGACAGAGATTCTCACGCATAATAGGTATGTAACTTTTTAAAACTTTTCGACGATAATCAAGAGTATGTCGATCACGTAGATGTTCCTGTTCAATATGCATAGCAGGATATGTGCTTGGTTCTTTAGCTATGCGAGCTAAACGTTCTAGTTTCTTTCTATTTTCATAATAAATTCGATCATCTTCTTCTTGTTTAGCTATGTGACGACGTTGCTCTTTCCATTTACGTAAATTAAGACGACTTGGTGAAAGATATGAAAACGTTTTACGTGGTGAATTCGATCGTGTACGTTGTGAATTCACTAACGGTTTGATTACTCGACGATGAGTTACAGGTGAAATCGGTCTTTCATGTACGATTGTATTTGTTACTTTCGATGATTGAATTCGATCGGAAGATTTTGATGATTGTGATGCAAATCGAATATTTCGTTGTGAACTTTCTGGACTGTTTGTTTCATCTCTGTCGGAATTTAATTGATGTTCATCTATTTGTTCGTTAAGTGTTTCTGGTGTATTATTTTCCTTTGCTTGTTCGCTTGATTTTTCTGAAGAAATTTGTTCAACTGGTGGTTCTGAAGAACTTTTTTCAACTGGTGGTTCTGAAGAAATTTGTTCAACTGGTGGTTCTGAAGAAATTTGTTCAACTGGTGGTTCTGAAGAACTTTTTTCAACGGACTGTTCTGAAGAAATTTTTTCAGTTTGTTGTTCGTTCGATGTTTCCGATGAATTATTTTCAGCTTTCCGTTCGTTTTGTGATTTGAATGGTTTGATTTCAGTTTGCTGTTCGTTGGGCGTTCCTGGTGCACTGTTGTTAGTAGTTTTTCGTTCGTTTGATGCTTCCGGTGAATTGTGTTCAGATTTCCGTTCGTTTGAATTTTCTGGTGGATTATTTATTGATGCTTGTTGAGAATCAATCGACATGATTTAGCAATAAGAATCTCTTGAAATGAATATTTGAATGTTTTTTTTTACCTGTTGAATAAAGTTTGTCTCAATAACGATAATCTACCACGACCATTCAAAGTTATCAAAAGACGCGAAGAAGAAGAAAAAGAAAGTAGTGACGAAAAAAGAAAGAAGAAGAAGGAGAAGAATGGAAAAAAGTGAAGAATTCTTTGCAATATCACAACATTTTTTGATAAGGAATACGAGTAGAGAGAAGAAAGAAAAAGATGACAGAAAAAAACACATTAAAAGATGAGCGTCAGCGTCTCTATTGACGTCAAGAAATACGTTGAAAATGTGGTATCTATGGCATTGCTTCCGCTCTTGTGAACTCTATGATTTGATTCTTTCGTTTCTTCGTCGTCATTCTTCAAATGAAATCTGAGCTTCTTCATTGTTTTTTTTGTTATCCTGTTTGCTATCAAATAGTTGAAATTATCAAATGAGAAACAGACGTGCCAGTTACTTCTTTTCTTTTTTTCTCAACAATGGATACATTCAAACAAATAGTACAATGGAAGACCTCGCACCATTCAATGATTAAACGTGATTTCATACCATGAAGGACTTCATATAGATCGATAAACGGTACACAATGATTACAAGGCTAGATTATAACATTTTTCTGCCAACTAAAAAACTACGACTCATATATAGAATATGATAGGTAAAATTAGTGTATATGAAGAAAAAGAAAAAAAACCAAGGATATATATATAATAATTGTCTAGTCGTAAAAACAATACTTGCTATGTGTATACCCATTATTATTCAATGCCAATCACGGTTGAGTAAGCATTACATACATAAGTGTATTTCTGATGAGTATATAAAGATACGATACGAATGAAGACAAAATCAGTTGAGTTTCGTTGATTTATTTCGTCTATCGCAATTACAGTTTAAATCATGGCCAATTTCGATGCAGCTAAAGCAATATTTTCTCAAGTAGATGCAAACAGCGATGGAAGGTATGCAATAAAACAATACTTTTCAATAAATTGAGAGAAAAAAATCTGAAAAAATTTCTAGAATCGATGCAAATGAATTTCGTAGTTGGGCAGCTAAAACTGGTGGCGCAGGAGGAGAAGCAAGGTCTTCTTCCTATGAATCATCATCTTCATTTCAATCGGGAGGAGCAGCCGAGGGAGTATCAGCTGGCTATTCTTTCGGTAGCAGTGGTGGTGCTGATGCAGCATCTGCTGGTTTCGGTTTCGGTGGCGGTGCTGCCGCTGCTGAGTTTGGAGGAGCAGCCAATGTACATGAAAGTGCATACAGTTCACAAGGTGGTTTTGAATCTGCTGGTGGTGTTAATAATTCATTTGCATCATCATCATCATCATCTGCTGAATTTGCTCAAGCCGATGCAGCAGCTGCTGACTCAAGTAATGTACAACAAACTACACAATATTCTTCAGCTGGTGGTCTCTTCAACGATCCTAATCCACAAATTATTCGACGAGCTGCTACCGGAGGCGTTGTAACTTATCAACAGAAGATTCTCGTTCGTTTTCTTCAGCCACCACCAGTGCCACCCCCAGGCGTAAATAATAATTTTTGATTCTTTCTTTCTCTTGATTGAAAGTCGTTGTTTTTGTTTTCATCTAGCCCCTCATCATCAAAGAAGTTCGTCCACCTCAACCACCTCCACCAGCACCACTTGTTGTTCGCCAAAAAGCCCCTCCCCTTCCAACACCACCTCCACTTATCTTACGAGAACGTCCACCAGTACCACCAGCATCTACTGCTAGTCAAACAGGTATAGAAGAAAAATAAGTGGAGAAAAAAAAAACAACATTCTATAATCGATTCTATTTTAGTTATTCGTCGTTTGGCTGCTCTCCCAGTTCCACCACGATCAGTTATTATCGAGCGTCTTCCACCTCTTCCACCCAAACCACGTACGCAAAAGAAACAAATTCTGTTTATTTGCTTAATTTTAAAATTTTGATTCTCATTCTAGGTGATATCATCATTGAACGTTGGATTCCATATGGAAGCCAATCCAAACGTCGCACAATTGTTCAACGTGCTGCAGCCACTAAAGAATATGCAAAACCACGTAATATTATCATTACATACGAGGCTGTTCAAGCACGTATTGTCAGACAATTTCAACGACTCGGCGTTGTACAAGAAAATCCACAAGCCTATGTTTCACGTTATGGTGCATCACTTTTAGATGCGAACGTACTTCTTCAACAAGCGCGTTCTGCCGGTGTCATTGAAGATATTGTAAGTCATTACGTATTTACAAGGAAATAATCGAATCATTTTTTTTGTTATTTTAGTCACCTCCAGCTGTCGCTGCTGCTGCTGCTGCTGCCGCTGCTGCTACTACTGCTACTGCTTCGCAATCCAGTGCATCATCTTTTGGTGGTGATGCTGGATTTAATTATTCAGGTGCATCCTTCAATCAAAGTGCTGCAACTTCTAGTGAAAGTGCTGGTCTCGACGGACTTGAAGTTATTGGCGGTGCTGAAGCTGGTACCTACGGTTTAAAGATAGCCAGCAGTGAGGCTGCTGGTGGTAATTACGGATCTCAGTCATATTCATCATCATCAAGTTTCGGTGGTAGCTCTGGACTCGACTTAGCTACTGCTAGCTTCGCTGCTGCAGACACAAACCGTGACGGTGGAATAGATCGTACTGAATTTCAACGTTTCATTCAAGGTGGTCTTTAGATAAATTTATGAACCTTTTATTCTGTCATTAATATTTTTAGATTAGAACAATTTTGAACAGAAATACTTTTTTCTTCCTTTTTTTTTCGATATAGAAGAATAAATTACGATTATAAAAAAAGAAAACGAGAAAATGGAAAAAATATATATATCCAGGTTGCAAAAACTGCATATTGTCATAGATAGAAAAAAAGGAAAAGAGCACACACACACACACACACACATCAACACACATAAATTAACCAACATTGCTCACACCACTATCAGTTGAATCACGCTTTCGAATATACCAATCGGGAAGTGTTGTTGAACGTGCTAGTTGCATGGCTTCGTGCCATAGATTTGCATAAAATGTTAATTTACTATCGGTAGTTTTTAATTGTTCGTCAATAAAATCACTTTTCGGATAGGTTATTTGATGATTTGAATCAATAGCAAACGAATGATTTTTTGTGGTTTCTTTTAATTCAAATTTTCGTGTCTCAGCTTCAAATTGTAGATCGAGTAAATCCGACAGAATTATACAATAGTCTTCGGCTTCATCAAGTTTAGCACCAAATACATGCAATTGAAAGTCTTCTTGTAAAGCTATCCAAACAAGTGTACCCGAACTGACCGAACGAAAATCACCAAAAAGTATTGTTTGATCAACATGACGAGTTGTTTTAGGCCATATACTTGAGTTTTTCGCCAGGGGATGGCCAGTAAAACTTGTGTAACACGTATCACAAACACGTACGTCAGCTTCAGTTTTACAATACTCAAGAGTTAGTTTTTTCGTTGAACAAGAGCCGCACACACATCGGCCACAACAACGGCAATGATGTCGTCGAGATAGAATGATGGTTGTTCGAAAACGATTGTTACAATTTTGACAACGCGATACATCAACATCATTCACCCATATAGGCGCTCGTGTACCAGGTTGTGGTTCTTCAAGCTGTTGTCGAATCGAGTGACGCACTGCAATAAAAACAAAATAAGCATATAAATTGAATTTAGTTTCAGTGACAAAGCAAGGCTTTTTGTAGAAAAACAACGGCTGGCGCTGTTTTAATTTAAAATAAAATTGTATCTTTTTACGATGATGTTACAGGAATAAATTTTGATTAACATGAGTGCTGTCGTCTTACGACATCGTTATAAATTACTCTTCATTTTGCCTGATTTATGTTTGGAAGGTCTAACAAGCGGAATCACAAAACTAAGTGCATGCGTGTTATTACGTGTAGATATGCTAAAGAAAACTTTGAATAGATTTCATGCATATCTACACAGTTGGGTAAAGTTCAATGAGCAGTTGATAACTAGTTACTTTTTATTTAAAACGAATCACATCACAAGAGAAGAAATATGAATAAAAATCGTTTTAGAAAAGTTTTCAGTTCAATTTGCTTTGGACTTTGAAATGTAAACGATCCGATTTAGTGTTTTTCGATTAACGAAGAGCCCTGCTAAGGTGTAACCTGCTATAATTTTCACCAGAAACTCTCCTCATTTATAGGTCTTAACTTGACTCGATTCTATTAAGAAAACTTAGGATTTTTAATCAAAATATCTTCGAGATACAGAACACTCTCTATGGAAAATAATGTATATCTTAAACCTCTCGTATTTCGTTTTTGTCGAATGTATAAATGAGTAAAAGTTCAATAGTTTAGCCAAATCGTTTCAGGAGTTATATATACTAGGGCACTATACAGTGTCTATAGATAAGAACCCTTCTTTTTATCGGGATCTCTTGGAAAAAAAATAAAACATTTGTCATGATGATAAATTAGAAAGAAAAGCCGATGTGAGCTCGACGACAAATAAGATAAGATCTTTGTTCTTATCATGTCTAGCGCAGAAATGACAGAGGTTAACAAAGTGCGCATAAATACTGACAATAAGGCCATGCATTAGCGATGCATTTTTAACTTGCAAATTTTCAATTAAAATTTACAGTTTATCAATGAATAACCACAACAATTTCTTACTTTCTGTAGCTTGATTTCTATTATTATAATCATCAGTTACTTGTCGAATTTTTTTCACCCAAAGTTCACGTTCAGATTCTTTTTCCACTAAGAATTCATAGGATTTTTCTACAGCATTAACACGAAATTGGTAATAAGTAGTTGGATTCGCTTGTGGATCACTACTTGGCACCGTGAATGGTCGTCCAGTTTGTACAACGTCTATCGTTATACCTCTCATTGATAATTCACGTTTTATTTCTAGTTTTCGTCCGGATTCTTCACTACATACAAGTATACAATCAGAAAATAAAATCATATAACGTTGAGCAATGTCAGCATGTCGACGTGGTGATACTTTCTTAACTTGACCATGCCACATAAGTTTACGTTGTTCCTTAAAGCATTCAAATTTATTATCAAGCCGTTCTTTTAATTCATTTAACTGTGTAGGCGATATAAGTAATTCTTCTTCGCAACGTCCAGCTATACGGTCAAGTTCATCGTGTATAGAACGTGTGTGTTTGTGTTCAGCAGAATTTTCATCGAGATATTTCAAATAAGTTTTCATACAAAGAATATAACTAAAAGAAAACAAGAAATAATATTTTTTTTTGTTCAATAGAAACGAGATCGTTTAACTTTAAACTTCTAGAAATTGGTTTAAAGTAAATTTTCGAATTTTTTTATAATTTCTCTCTGAAAAATTTTTAAAATTGAATTTTCCTCTCAGATAGCGGAGTTTCATTGCATCCCAGATGAATTAACACTATCGAATATATTACCGAAGTAAACGTTGATTTGGACAATTCAGCTGTGTAATTGGATATAAATTGCCAAGATATGTTTGACATTTAATCATTGCTTCATTAATCAATGGATTATTTCTACATAATTCATCTAATTTTCCTTGAATATCAGCATAACTCACGTAATAATTTTTATATAATACTTCAATGACTTTGAAATTCTTTTCTAATACTGACCACATATTACCGGTACGCTGACCGATTATATATTCTTCTATTTCAGGAGCAATCATACCATAATGAAGTTGATATATTTGTTGTATAGTACCAAGCAATGGTTTATAAGTATTATTAAACGTTAAAATAAGATTATCGTCTTTATCACATGTATTTTTTATTTCGGCTGAGAGTTTAACGGAAAGTACATAGAGAATGTTCACATAAGTTTTTTCAGTGGCATTAACTTCTTCAAGACATCGACGTAATTTAGTTTGCTAGATGAACAAGGTAAATCAGTCAATTGAAATATACAAAATAAAAACAAACTCGCTCAGCTTCATAATCTTCTTCTTCGTCACTAAACGATGCATCGGATGAATTATGCCTACTAATGATTGGATTGGACGAAAGACTATCATCACCGGTTACACTATCAGCTGTATCGAGTGATTGTACGGAATGCCAATCGGACGATTGAGATTTAAGGAAATGTTCTGGGCGGGGTGGCCAACGAGATGGAGGTTCATTATTATTTGATGCAAAACTGGATGAAGATGACTTACTTATCGGTGGAGAATCACGGCTTTTTACTGATGGTTGATAATAATGATGACGTTTTTCTCCATCGAATTTTTCACGAATCTAAATAGAAGCAATCGATTCATACAAATAATTTTTTGCCTTAGAGCATCTTTAAAATTATATTCGTATCCATGCTATACTCCGACTAAGCTGTGAAGGTGAAAGATGTCATTTTCAAGGTAACTAAAATCATTTTGTGAGTCACTTGGTAACGGATTGCCCATATTATTTTCTATATAATCAAATAAATAACACGATTTCATTATTAAAGCTTTATCAAATCGAATAGGTCATTTAAAAGTGTTCTTTACTCGTTTCTACTAGAATCGATCGAAGCCTGCATCTTCTATCACGAATTCGTGTAGGAGAAATTTTAACAATTTAACATGAAAATCAGATCTAGTGATTATATATTAAAACAATAAATGCCAATAATCTGTGTCATTTTGGCTATTGAAGAATTAATAGCAATCGAAAATAGGCCGCCTTCACATACTATTAATCATCTATCATCCCTCGCAATGGATCATTTTTCAATAAATTACAATGCAAATTTACTATTAAAGGTTTATTAGTCATTTTGCGTCTTTATGAGACCAAACTGCCATCTCGGTAGAATTATCTGAATATTTACTTTTCGAACTGACGTTGACTGTTGATTGTCATTTTCTGGCAATGAAGGAGAATCATCTGATTTAGGTAATGGTGATGGTGATGGTGATGGTAAATTCTCATTTTCTTCAATCGATGAGTTCATTATAGAATTCATCATTCGGTTCATTGAAACCCGAAGAATATTTTTTATTGCTGAACCATTTGTCCCGTCAGATGATGCACTAGGTGACCCTGATTTCGATCTCGAAAATACGGATGGCTTGACAAGAGTTGTTTCAGTGGTGTTCGAATCATTCGATTGGTTGAAATGTGTTGTTAAAACTAATAAGAAAAAATATATAAAAAATTCATGCCAAAAAAATTTTTATTTTACTTTTAACTGCTTTCGCAGGACAAGGAGCCGATATATGTGAAGTATTGGTCTGAGTAATTGATGATGCTGGTACAGAAGTTCGTTTTTTGTATACATGATGTGTAGGTACGTCAGCGTGTTTTTGATTTTCGAATTTCTTTCGAATTTCAGCAAACTCAAGTTTTTTGGTTGATGACGCAGGTGCTGTTTCATCGTTTGACGATCTAAATAATTCGTATAAATAGAGAAAAAATTTGAATAAAAAAATGTAATAAATCATACGCGAGTTTTTCGTCTCGATCTGGTGTCAGCGATTGTGACCGAGGTTTTTTGCAAGACGATGGTGGTGGAGGTGGTAGATGCCCAGATTTGATAAATTTATGATGGGGCTCTCTTTTCTCCGGTGTCGACATCAAAAAAGAAGAAAACAAAAGAAAAGAAAACGACAGGTAATAATTATGACAAAAATAATGCATGAATGTTCTGTTGTTTTTTTTTCCGATGAATCATCGATGTTAGCATGACACCAATGAATCATTTCTTATCCCTAATAGTTCAAAAGTAAATAAGATTTCTATCCCGTCTAATTAAGGAACTGAAGTATGGAAATGAAATAAAAATCATAATGTTACTATGTAACTGTAAATTCTTCAAAAACGAAAAACAAATCGAGATAGTCATTTTTTTGTGTTCCCTTTACTCTCCACCTCTCGAGTCTTTCTTTCTCTCTCAAATGCATGTTACTTTTTCAAAAGAGCTGATGTCATTTCTATTAGGTAAACCTGGACGAAAGAAAAAAAGAAGAGACGACGAGCTCTATTCACTCTGTTTTTTTTTTTATAATACACCAACAAAAACAGAAAACACGAAATTTACATAATTCTTTTTTGTTTTCTTTGTAAACAAAGATTATTAATGAAAAATCGAAAAAGAATTTTGTTTATCTATCGATACTTGTTGCTGGCTTTGCTCGCGCGCTTGAATTTGGCGTAAATATTCTTCATAATCACGAATTAATTGATGATATTTATCATGTATAAATGTTGAATGGTCTCGTGTTGGCTTAAGTGACTGGTGCAAATATTTACCAACAAAACTTGTGCCATTTGCTTTGTGTAAAACATGTTTTAGCAATATCAAACCATAATAAAGAACGAACTCATGACCTTGAGCTTGCACCACAAAAAATTTATCCAATAATATTCCAATATAATGAATTTGTTCAACAGATTGTCGAACGAAATAAACGAATTGATGTAAGAATAATTTATCAGTCGAACCACATTCAACAAGATCATTTAGATACGGTACTAATTGTGTTGCTAGCCAAAATTGTTTCTGATGATAGGTTTCCATAATGAAACGAAGAAACAACTGACTAGCTAAACGATTATTGACCATGTATTGAACGAATTCTGTTGGAGGTAATAAAAGTTTTAAAATTGACGATGACGATGTGTCCGTATTTAAACGATTTTCGACAATTAAACGAATAAGAAATGGCAAATAATGTGTTAATAATCTCGAGTCGATTGGATCATGAAATGACATTGCGCCATCAAGAACATCCCATGCATGTAGGCCCATATTAAGTAGTTTGAGAAGAAATTGCAATTCTTTATTCGATCGTGGTAACGGAATTTCATCATCGACCTACAAAGAATTTTACTCAACTTAATCTCGGATGTTCATCATGTATAAAGCTTTTGTTTCTAATTTTTGAAAATCGCCCGGATCGTCTATAGACTCAGACGGAGGAAATTTTTCGTTCTCTGATTTTGATAAAAATCTAACCTGTTTATGTAGAAGTAAAACACAAGATTTGGCTAATATTGAAACAATATTTGGATCCGTCAGTACGAATGGTATATGCTTATTGATAATATCTGTATCTTTTGAATGTGCATCTAAAAATTGTTCGATTTCTCGTTGTTTTTTTAAATCTAATTTTCTTTCTTTTAATGCTGCATCGAGTGTCCAAACGAAGATATGTATAGAATCGGCTTTCGACACAGTATTGTTTTCTAAATCGTGAAATGCCATCAATAATAGCAAACGCAACGATGAATAATGAACGATTTTCGTTCGTTGAAATAATTTTTGTAGACTCATTCGAACAACATCGTACAGTTTAACATTGGTTCCAATCATATGTACAAGCGATTGAATGGTCGGCGATGTTTGTCGGCGTTGTTTAGGTAATTGTAGAAAATAATTATGATCACATTGTAATAATTGTTCTTCAACGTTGGCTAAATATTGCGATATAATTGGTTGGAGTTCTTTTTGAAATAGCGTATGATTATCTGCCCATATTAGACGTTTTAGTTCGATCGGCGCTCGAGAATAGATTTGTTCATGTTCGACTATATATTTGACATATCTAAATAAACGAGAATATCCATAGAATCCAATTGACATAACATAATTTCGATTTCGCTCAATACACCATAAATTATTACAGTTATCTAGTCTCGAATAACAATAATAATTTGTAGAGAAAACTTCTGTTAGCGCAGGTGTTTTCGGCGAACTCTATTTTTAACACTGTATCTTCATATGAACACTCAGTAGAACAATAGAATTTCGAATAAAGCTTTATCTAATGGTCTGAAAAATATTTCTTCTATACCGCTGCGGGATCAACTAGAATTTATTACATGAAATTCCTCTGAAATGATATTCAAGATTTTTTTTGGATATTTTTCAAAATATTGTTTTCGAGTAAGAGCCAGCTGTTTACCCTCATAACGAAAAATATATGTCCATCTGTTACAAAAAAAATGCGCTCACTCCCATTACGCATCGATATAACGTCGACAGAAATCCATATTTTCTTAAGCAGTTGAAAATTCGCCCCCCACCCCCCCTAACTAAAAACATTCTGGACCATGTTCTCAACCGGATTATTATTAATTCGGATCAAACAAATAGCATACTTATCAGGTATTTTTGGAATATGTTTAACAATTTCCATAACCACTGGTGTGACATGTGTTAAATTGATAACCGTAAAGCTTTTTTCTAATAAAGTTTCTAATTGTTCCTTATCATCGTGTTGTGCTAATTCTTGTATTCTTTTAATTAATCTATCTTTCATATCGTCGAGAACGGCGAGATGAAAATCTAATCGTTTCACTCCCAATAAATCCAGTAATGGTAATGCAGGCCGGATTTGTGTAAGAGCAATTCCATTTTCATCTTGAATTTCTTTTATAGCACGAAATGGATCTTCACAATTGGTCAATGTAGTTTTAAGTTCTTCTTTAAAATTAATATTCATCTAGAAAATAATTTTCAAAAAGGAAACGAAATTTACACATGACATAATAAAAACGAAACATTTAAAAGAGAAAAACTAGTAACAGTCAAAACAAACAGCAACGATTTAGTTTAGCAAATTTCGAGTTGTTTGGATTTCCGGTTCATTTTTGACAGTTTTTTTCTCATGGCTTTGCGCATATAAACTTGTTTCTTTCACTCGATCGAGAAGACGGGCTGAATAAAAACAAAAGAAATTTAATAAAAACAAAAGAACATAAAGCAACCAATGAATTATTACTTTGAAGTTCCAATATTGCATTCTGTCGTTTAAGATCATCGATTAATTTTTGATGCTGTTGAGTTTTGGATTTCAACGATTGAATATAATCAGTTGCGGATTTCAGAATATGAGCGCGAGATGCCTGAGACTTAAAAATAGAATTAATTTTTTTCTAATTATTTAATTTCTACCTTTTCTCCTTTTAACACTGGAATCACATCGCGAAGATCATTGAAACTTCCTTTAATATGATCACGACGTTTTCTCTCAAGAGCATTATGATGTGCACGTTTTTCTGCTTGATTGTGACTGTTATTCTGCATGTTCGAAGGCATATCCATATCGTCGCTTTCCATATGATTATCATTATACTGATCAAGATCTGAAGACATTTTTATCTAGAAAATAAAAGATCACGATATTGACTAGGCAGGTGTTCGTCTGATAGAAATCTGATTTTGCTATTTAACCTTATCATCAATTGGAAAATCGTCTCCGAAAAAACAATGTGACTTAGCACGATATTTGGTTATTTTTTTTAGTGGTTCTGTATGTCTGAAAATGATTAAAAATGCACCTAATCTCATAGAAAATATCCCACGTTAATATTAAATCTATCATTAACATAACTACGATAAGAATATTTTCTAATAAGATAATGTTTTTTAAAAAAGTATTCTTTTCAAGCAGAGAAGAGAACAAAACATTATAACCTCGATGAATCACTTCTATCCATGTTGTTTCTGTCAAATAAAAAAAAGAACCAACTGATGACATCTGTCGGATGTTCGCTATGAAAAGTTTTATTGCGAAAATATAAAAAATACTATTTTATTTACGTTTTAAATAAAGAAATATATATTTTGATTGGTTTTAGATCAGATTAAATGTAACTGAAACATACACAGGCTATCTACCTGTCTGCCTATTGTGTTTTTTTCCTTCGTACTTACACAATCGTGTTTGACTGTGTGCCTGTGGGTATATTTTTTTTATATAAATTTTATATTGAGACAAAATACAATGTGTTCAATACATTTTACGAGGCCATGCGGATGAATCAACAGTATCCACCAAGGCAAAATGGCTTTTCAGCCAGACAGAAATATAATAAACACAATGAAGGTAATAGTCAACAACGCAATCATTATCAACAACAACAATCACCAGTTCCTAAACAAGAATTTAAACCAGTTGCAATTTTAAAACGTGGTGATCCATCAGGAACGACAATTATCAACAAAGATGACAGTCAAGCAAAAGAAAACATTTCTGCTAATACACAACAACAACAACCACCACCAAAATCAACAAGCTACAAAGTATAAAAAACGAATTTATTATTATTTTTTTTTAAAGTCACATGACACAAAACGATATTTTATATTAACAAAAAAAATTCTTTAGACGAAAAGGTCTATCATGAAATCACTATGACGTAATATTGAACTTCCATTTAGACGATTTACTTTTTTTAATACTGTAAATGATATCGATCATATTCCTAAATGAACAGTTTTCAGCTATAGACGAGAAAAAGTTTTTTTCCCATTCCTACTGTTCTGTTATTTCATACATGTAAAATTTCATTTATTAAGCTACTTCAATATTTGTTTAGAATTTCAAGTTCGAACATCGTGCTACGAAATCACATGCACATAATTATCCTAACAGTTGGGGTCAAAATAACTTGCCCTTTAATATACACATATATATATGAGTGAATCGCGCTGACATTATACGGTTTGAAGAAAAAAATCGAAAAAAAAACAAAAGTAAACAGATAGATTCGGCCCGTGCATTCGATAGAGCTTTATTTGTTGTATATGAGTAAAATGTTTTTACATGGTTATCATATATGAAACGAATCTTTTTCAATCGGGGAATCCAAAAGACATGTGCAGAATTTTACTCACATGTATTATTCATGCATTTTCACGAGTGTAATGCGATTGCTGTTATTAAAAACGCGCTTTATAGCTAAGTTCTTTTTAACATTGTGTCGCGATAACAATGAAATGTCTCTCATTCCATAGAAGTAAAAGAAGATGAAATAATATCATTTTTCTTGCGAACGACATTTAGTTGACAGCTCAACTTTTTACCATAGATGTACCCTATACTCACTCAAAAATGGTAAAAAAGATCTTTGATTAATCTCTTTCTTACAGTTAGCGAGAAATCAAAATAAGAAATCTGTCGTGACATTGAGTGCGACAATAGCTACCAATCGTTTATTTTTACTTTTTTTGTTTCATCGTGAACATTTTTTTAATTTATTTTTTAATCAAAATATTTCTCGCTCTTTGCTCTATCAAGCACAAAAAAGAAATTTGAGTTAGCTTGCAAGTAGTCTTTAATAGTTACAATTTAATCTGTTGTGACAAAAAATGGGCAACGTGTATGCTTTCATATTTTTGCAAGATTTGATCAGGAAATCAAAATCGAGATTAAGATTACTTTATATAGTTAAAAAGAGGAGAACCTGAGCTACCAACTTCCGTAAAAAAATCTATTTATCCAGTCAGAATTGTAGGATATAAAAAGGAATTTCTGTCGATAGATCCTGTCAAACAGCTTTCGTAATGATCTTTTATGCTTGAAAAATCCTTACCACGCAAATAAAAACCTCGATGATTTTATGGTGAGTAGGACGGACCGAATGGAGCATTTCAACAAAACAATTGTCCAAATCGATTGAGTAAAAGCTGAGTTATAAGATTTTTCGTGTTCACAGAGCAACCGTATAATGTCAGCGCAATTCACTCATATATATATAACATTAAGAGTCATTATTCGCGAGATATATGAGTCTTAGATAGTCTGAACTATTGAAATGGTCTCGATTTGTTTTTAATTAGAAAGTGACGTTTGACGTCTGGGTAAATCAAAGATGAATGCTGAAGTTTCGTTTATAAAACTTTTCTTATTTTGAATAATATTGCACTGTGAGTTACTCTTGGTGGTAATGTGAAGTAAAATAGTAAAGAATATTGCATAATTGAGTAGTTTCGAGGTATCTCGAGACAAAAAGAATAGTTTACGGTTCACTAGTTTTTTTCATTGAGTTGTAATTTTTATGTTGTCAAAAGAAAAATCTTCTACTCAATAAATGAAAATTCTAAAAGATGAGACGATTACACTGGAACGTTTCGAAATATTTAATCTAAATTGGAATTTCCATTCGATAGATGAACTACACTCTTTAGAAGACTTCATCGAAACTCGCGAGGAACAAAAGTGTCAGATTATCAACTGTATGACATTTCTAACGTAAGGTCAAAAGAGCCCATATGACCCCTTGAGAAGACCAGATAAAATCTTTTGATTCTTATCAATCTACATATGTATAAGTAAAAATTAATCTTAGTAATAACAAAGCATTCTACTATTTTTTTTTCTCTTTTTAGCAAGTGGTCGTACAGCAACCACCCGTATCTGTAATTCTCGCATCACACAAAACTCCCGTTAATGTTTCACCACCTGTTCCGAGTCCTACAGCATCAACACCAGTACCCATCGCATCGTCAACAAATCCACCATCGACCAATACAACAGCTAATAGTACTCCAACTATTCCTTCTGTAGTTCATAAACCAAATGGACCAATAAATCTGACCCGAGCAACCTCAACATTATCCTCGCCAGTATTAACACAAAATCAGCACGATCAACATATTCAATCGATAAACAATCGTTTACTTGCATCCTCGATGACAATGAAATCGTCGATGAAACTCATTGATGATTCATTAACCTGGTGTGAAAATGGTCAATTAAACAATTTCCTACAAGAGTCCGATGGCTTTGTCGTTATCGGTGCTATCGGCCGGGAAAAAGTCGGTAAATCCACATTGCTTTCTCTATTAGGTGGAAATCAATTTATTGATGAAGATCGCCTAATGATATTCCCAGCAGCATCTTCGAATTCTCATAAAATTACACATGGCATCGATGTTTACATTACAAATGAGCAGACAATTCTACTTGACACTCAACCCTTGTTAAGTTCACAATTGCATCAACAACAAATTTTACAATCGCCAAATGATTATCGTTCACAGCAACAACAAGTAGTATCTGCACCACATTTTTGGCAGCAACAAATCGATCCTCGATCGATGTTTATTGATAATATACTTGAATTGCAAACATTGGAAATAATTGCGTTTATATTAGCCGTTTGTCATGTTGTTTTAATTGTTGAAGATCAATTTGCAGATCCATATCTTTATCGTTTATTACAATTGGCCGATATTTTACGACCGATATTAAAACGTAGTACAAACGAAATCATTAAACCTCATTCACCACATATTGTTTTTATATTAAACAAATGTAATAATTATATTTCGCCGCAAGAACGTCTATTAATAAAACGTTCATTGGTACAAATGATGATGGATACGCAATTTCGCATTTATTCATCATTAAAGCAAACAAATAAAATTAAAATACAAACAAATTTAAAACAAATTGTTTCCGATTTAAAACAACAAGAATTGAATGAAAATTTACTGGTGAAATTATTACAAAAAGCAAAATTAAATGATGACGACGAAACAAATAAAGTAAAACTCAGTGTTGAATCGGAGCGTTAGACAATTTCAAGAGTTATATAATCCAAAACCCATAAAATATTGTTTATCATGACCCAGAGTGCTACTCGCGAGCATAGAAATATTTGCAGAATTTATCTTGTATTCGCAAACAATCGACAAAAAAAGGATTTTGTTAAATCTCTTTTTTCCTACATATGTACCACTGTAATAGTGAAGATTAAAAAACATACATTTTTCTTCAATGAAAGCTAAAAATGCTTTTCTTACAGCGTCTAAAATATCGTATGAGAATTTGACCTAAATATCTGTTTTGAGATAGTTGTATACTATTATTTGACAACTCTGTCAAGATATTGTCTTATAGATATCCAAGACAATTATTTATACTTCAGTTTTACTCTCAATGATATTGACTTCTGTTATTTATTTGTTTGAAGACCAGTACATTTATATTTGTTTGATTAATGCTGTTTTTCTTGTTTCATCAAGCGAAAAATTCTCTAAAGATCTTCACCGAAAGCACAATAAAATTCCTGTCAAACAGCGACAGCAGTATTAATGTTTGAAAATATATTTTAGGATGTAGATCTTACAAATGAAAATGATGAAGACCTTGATGAAAAACGTTCGTATATTCATATTCTAGTTTTGATAATAAAAATAAGAATTTTCTTTTTTTTTCTATAGAAATTAATTACGATCATGTAAACGCGATTTTTATACCTCGACGAGATTTTCGTGATTCTCATTCGTCTCATTGGCAATCACGTTTTCTTGGTTTTTCAAATGCTGATTCGATCGTTCGACAACTTCGTCAACAATTGCTCGCTATAGATCGTCCACACATTGAACAATGTCAAACGCAACGTGCTTGGTTAACACATGCTTCTCGTATTTGGGATTTAATAACAAAATCCAGTCAGGTAAAATTTACATGAAAAAAAATTTTTTTTCATTTTTTTATTCTTTTTACAGTGGGCTGATTTTAGTCGCTTATTAACATGAAATAATAGATCATAAGTGTCCATTAACACGGGCAAATACGGCAAAAAAAAGCAATACTTCAATCTGAATGGCAAATGATTGCCGACCGAGCAAAATAAAATCAAAAAATTATGGCCATGCTAGTGCATGATGAGAAATAAGATGATGGCAAATGTAGAAATGAAATGACCTTGTACAAGATTATTACAGAATACAAAATGGTACTAGCTAAATATAAAACGCTAGACTATTCTTATTGATATGGTCATTAATTCTTTTCCTCTTTGGCTTTTTTTCTCTAGTGCATCTTTTTCATTTTTGCTCTGGTTTCTTTTTTCTCTATGCTACGATTTTGTTTTCATATATTTTTCTCTTTTGACTTTTCTTAACATGAAGATGAAAAGTTTTTTCAGTCGGTAAAATGAAAGAAAATAAAACCTAAATTAAGATCGATCGAAATCTAATATTTACACATCGGTTTTTCTGATTTTTCTTCTCTTGATTCAAGTGTGAACTTATGATTATTTACGTATTTGTTGTTGTCATCATATTTCTTTTCTTCTCTTCTCTTTCCATTCGATATATATCTATGTTTATGCTCGGTTTGTTTGTCTGATCTAATAAAGAAACAAAAAAAAATGTAATGCTGAAGACTATTCATGATAATAAGATCAAAAACGCCCGATGATATATTGGATTTGAATGTCATCATCCTAATACTGAGATTTATTGATTAGTACGATCATAATATTTCGCATCGTTCTATTTTTTTTTGTCTGGTTTCTAATTGACTTGTACACATGCTGTATACGAATTCATCTTCAGTACAAAGACAACAGCAAAACAAGAATAATTGGTGATAATAAATAACAACGAAAAATGTTCTTAGTCTTTACATTTTTCTTGTCTATTTACGATTCCGTTATCATTTGAATTTATGTATACATGAATATTGATAAGCAACAGATTTTATCTTCGAATTTACTTAATGTTCAAGAAAATTTGATGGCGAACAAAGCATTGATTTACATTTTTCACAATGCAGACACGTTCATCGATCAAAAAATAATGTTTTAGTATATTCTGGTGTCAAATTAGATATTCGAAGTACTTCCATTAGAATTCGGATGCATGAATAAAGACATAAAAAATATGTGAGATGCTTATGGGATGTCACACAAACACGTTTTCTTTGCTTCATTATTAATGAATTCTATAGAATAATGTCAGAAAAAAACAGTTTGTTGAGCATGACAATTCATTATCATGAATCTTCTATGATAATTATATGAGCACTTGTTTTATGCGACGAAGAGAAAAAAAAATAAGAACAACAAAAGTAGACTTCAGGGTATAAAAGGGTTGAGGAGGAGAGAAAAAAAAATAATAACCTCTTTTAGTGATAGATACTGTATTAGCCTGTTATCTGTCGACATCAAATCTATGCAATGTCACTTAAGAGCTATATATTTTCTTCTGTTTTTTTACTTTGTTTTCGATGAAAGATAAATAAAGTCTTATTTGGTATTATAATACAGAGAAAACTACTACCTTGAAATAAGTCTAATTTGTTTAACGATCTGTCTTATTGTATAAATTGACTACGCATATTGTTTTGTAATAAAATACATATAACGGCAATACAATAAATTGAATCAATAAATTAATTAAAAACCTGCCTTCCGATGCAAAATTCAATTCTATTATAAATAACAATAATAATTAATGACTTCCTTTCAAAGGTGTACGATACAAAAGTAACTCAATTAAATAGGTAAGCAATTAATTTGTAATAGCTGAGTGCCTATCCGTTTATTTCTGAATTTTGCTAGTTTTACTTGCACTTCTCTGCCTATAAATATATCACCGTATGCTGCCTATTCATTTACATTAATAATGATTGATTAGTATGACGATACACTAGTGGATGTAAAACAAGTCTTTTGTCATTGTCAATCAGAAAATAAAAAGATCGCTAAGGATAATTACAAAAGTATAATAAAAAAAAATGTTCAAAGACGCATAACTGTGATAATCCTGCTATTCATCTTTCTCATTAGAAAAAGCACATGGTATCTTGGACTTCTTTTCGTTTGATCTTGATGTCAACCGAAGGATTCTTCGCCAGCTTTTTTTCAACAGTTTTTATTATTATTAATCAACTGAACAAACCAGAAAGAGAAAGGTTTATAGTTTTGTGATTAATTAAATTTCCGTTGATGATAAGAAAATAAAAACGAGAAAACGGAGAAGAACACAGGTAATTGGTTTCTGTTGAACAATCAAATCAGTGACGCAGATAAAATCGAATTTATGCTTTTCTCTTCATTTTTTCTTGTTTGTTGATGTTACTTAGCTGATTGATTGACTGTCGCGGAATACTTTTATTTTTTATTCTTGTTTCGGCAATCAATCGTTACTCCTTGCAGTGAACATTAGATTTCTCTCCAATTTCCAGCATGTCTCTTTCTCTCCCACACTCTCCTCCTTCTTCTCGGCGAATGGAACCATAAATATATACACTATGACATTGCCGATTATTCTCATAGTCGTCGCAAGTTCTTCTCTCTCTCTCTCTCTCTCTCTCTCACTTTGTCGACGCGTCGCCTCAAGTTTCTGTATTACTACTGCACCCTATTGTCGTTATTACGAGGAAAGTAGTACTTAAACAGATCGCTTCCTCGCGTTTCCATTGCTACTCGGAAGTCGAACGCATTTTTCGGTAAACATTATTAATATAAAGAATACAAATTGTCTTATTCATTCATACATATTTATTATAACGATTATTCTAAAGAGAACGTCGAAAAAACAAAACTTAATCTATTTATCACTAATTGAGAATTATCTGAAGAAATCAGTAGATAGATCATCTTTGTACAAACACTTCAGTTTGACATCGATCGGAAATCAACACAGAATTACAAGAAAACGAGATCTTAACCAATCGATTGGATCGTTTCTGTTTTTATTATATTCAATATTCATCATACAATTGCAGATTGATCAATCAAATATCTCGCCCTAATCAATTAAGGAAAAGTAAGTTATCATAAATGTCTATATAAATTATTTAGTTTTTTTTGCTTATATTATAAGTCGTTGCTTATCATCAGACATCAGGGATTAAATGTTAATGCGAAGAACTAGTAGCTATCTTTCTTCCGTTCTTTTTTTTTTTTTTATTACGGTTGTTTTTTATTATTTGATGCTGAAAATTGAGAAAGCAATAACATATTGCGCTTGTGATTGTCATTGTGTGTGGGTGTTGTTCAACGAGAAAGTGAAAGAGAGAAAGAGCGAGAAACGATCGTGCAATTGCAGTTCGATCAATATTTGCTTTTGCATACTAAAGTTTAGTATTTTCCTATCGACCAATCAACCCGCGATCTCATTTATAGGTAACTACTCGTCGGTTATTCCGATTTTTGATCGATGTAATGATCACTATACAATGCAATAAAAAAATATTAAAAAAAAAGAAAATAAAAACTCTTCGCCCTGAAGGCTTCCAGATATGTAACGCTAATCCGATTCAGTTCTTTGGTATAAACTCTTATCTGTAGTCGTACAGTCTAGTAAATACACGCACACACACACATGTTCGCTTGATTATCGTCTTATGATTGGAACTATGTGTGTGTCTGTGGCCACCGAACAAATTTGAGAATATCGGCAAAATATCAAGTCGTTTGCCGCTTTCTGTCGTAGGTCTGTTGATATTAACATAATGCGTACAAAAAATAAAACTACCATATACGATTGTTGCTTTTTTATGTTCTCGATTTTCTTTATACTTACAATCGAGAGCACGTTTTACTGCACATATCGATGCTTGTATGAGTATTCACTAGTCTTCCGAAAAGCAAACGTATTTGAATAATGTTCCGTGAAGCCCTATGAGAAAAAGTTTATTCATTCATCAATTATTCATTTTGCATCTACTCGAATTAAAAATATTCCTTCTAATTCTGTTCGATTGTTTATGGAAGAAAATTGGCATTGGCAATGTATGAAATAGCGCATACACATCATCATCATCATCATCATCATCTTCATCACAAGTACATCATCGACCACATCAAGTACGATCTACACGCATGCATAAGAGAGTTCTTAGCATGAAATCGGATGCATCGCATAAAAATGCTAGATTAGTTATGACAACATTTTTTATGATATAAAGAGAAACGAACTACAATTTATTAATCTTTATTGTGTAGATATTTATTTTTTTCTTGTTGCTCTGAAAGAAAAGCAATATATCTTTATAAAGAAATCAAAATATCTTGGCATTGAATGGCTCGATGTTTTCCTTCGATTCATATGATTAATATTGACAAGTAAGTGTTCTTAATTAATCTCATAGAAATACAGCTGCATAAGACTATTGCAGAAGATTTTTATTTTCCCACACATTGCTTTCAATTCTTAAGACACATGAACTAAAGCTTATCGAAGTATATATATATATATATATGTTTAACAATTCTATTTCTAGTGAGCACAAATATATTATCGTCAAATTGTTGTTACAATTGTATTTTTTCATTTGTTGTCCTTGTCTACATGTCATTATCGTTCGTTCATCATGTTTAAGATCAAACGAAAATCTCAATCACCATCGACATTACCCTCATCAAGCAATGTTAGTCGTAGTACTTTATTTGTTTCGTCTTCTTCTGCTTGCTCTACTCGTCATTACTATAATAACGTGTCATTATCATCATCGAATTCTGTCTCTCCACAATCAACCGTTTATAAGAAACTTCAACGTCAACAACGTATTGAAGAAAATGCCGCAAACAATCGATCCACAACACGTGCGAAACAATTTCTTGGCTATTTTCGTTGTTGCTGCTATCATTTTTGTTCATGCACATGTGAATGTTCCATTCCGTCAAATCTATCTCAAAATGATAATACTTCATCAATATTTAACAAGAAAATTTGCGCAAGTACATCATCAATTAATTCGTCGCACTATCGTCGTTAAACAATTAGAATTTTTCATTGATTTTATTCTTTCAACAGATCATTTACGTCGATATATATCCGAACGAGTCTTAATTGAAAGAAAAACTAGTAAACATTTTCTTCCTAAATTAAGTTTCCTTTTCCTTTTATTCTCCTGTCTATTTCCGTTAACGATTGCGACCACATTGTCACCATCGCCAATAACAATTGCAAATCGTGACATATATATCTTCAGTGATTTCGGTTTAAATACTTCCATAAACTTTTTACTCTATCGAAAACCGCAATGGCATGCCGGATGTTGCTTACGTTCGAAAGACACACAATCGTCCGTCTGTGATGTTCTATTTAATTCGACATTTAATGTAACGTATGAAAATAATCTAATAGAAAAAATTTATAATGTAGATTTTCTTAATAATCAAACATTATTTTGTCAACGTTATAGCGAATTTCGTCATCTATCACGAAAACACTTAGCTGTATTTACATATTTTACTGTTACAATTGGTATACTATTAAATACATTTGTTTTTCTTGTTTTAATATTTGGTTCATTAAGACGATCGACATCATTTACATTATTTGTTGCTTTAACATGTTTCGATTTATTAAGTTTAGCGTCAAGTCTATTCGCACAATTATTTCGTACTGTAATGCCTTTTTTAAAAAATTCGGCATTATTTTGCAAAATGTTTGGAATATTCTTTTTATATTTCCGTCAATGTTCATCAACAACATTATTATTAATTGCTATTGAACGTTGCATTGTTATTAAATACCCATTTTGTCGGCACACATTTAATAAATTTCGCCTACCATTATTAACTTTTATTATGTTTATATTTGTTGTGCCAATTCCATTTGATTTCGTTTTTTATACAAGCGGTACAATACATTGCGAAGCATTCAATACAGCAGAGGCTGATCGTTATCAAATATTTCGTGGATTTTTCACTGTATTTTCATATGCTATTCTGCCATTTGCTGGAATATCAATAAGCAATTTATTAATTATAATAGAACTTAAAAAATCTAAACAACGTTTTATGGTTAAAGGCAAAAATGGAACAATGAGACGTTTTTCTACACAGTAAGATTTTATTTAGATTACAGAAAAAAAAGACGAAGGAAGCCTTCATGGGAATTCTGTCAGTTCTTGAATATCGAACCATACTTGTATCTGTATGCTAGACATAGAACATGCTTAATGAGAATATGCATTTATGTTCTCAATCGACTGATAAGACAAGAATTTCTGATAGGCAGGACTTTCTATAACTCAAGGAGAGACAGACTTAATGAGTCTATAGACTTCATTTATGTTGTAAACAACAGAATTTATTTTCATTTTCCTCTTCAATATTTTCCTCATCTCTGTGAATAATAGACTGTACAAATTATTGGTCTATTATGAAAAGGCCCATAGACTAAATGTCACAGTTGATTTATCTAACGAGAAAATTTCTCTATGTATAGTAAAAATTTCCTTGGCTATGCTAAATATCATCGATATCATTAGGATCAAAAAGTTACTATTACTATTATCGTCATCATCCAGTAAACGTCTAATCTATACTTTTGCAGATGGGCATATCAACTAGAATATAAACATCTCAATTATAACATAATACTTTTATCAATGTTTTATTCTAAGGATAATTTTTAAAAGATAGCGATGACACTTCTAAAGCAACAAGCTTGGACATATTCCATTTATCACTCATAGACATATGTAAACTATCATTCCAGTTGATGTTCTAGAATTGCTTCTAAAGAGTGATCCGTTCATTTTTATATTTCCCCAAAAAAACTCATGGCACCCTTTTTATTTGTAACATCAATAGAAATTTTATTCCGCAATGCACTGCACTTTCTAATGAAATTTAATAATTACTATTTAGCGTAGGGGAAAAACGTGGTACAACAGTCATGTTACTTGTCGCTTCATTTGCATTTCTTGTTCTACTCGGCCCATTCTATATACACTGGTGTGTGGCATATCTATTTAATGATTATCCTCAGTGCCATTTTACACGAAATCTATACGAAAATGTGCAAGTTTGCATGGGCGTATTTCATCCATATTTAACCGTCATTGAAAAGGGCATGCGTGAATCTAATCATGCTATTAACTTTCTTCTCTATTGGGCAACATCGACACGTTTCCGCGCAGATTTTGAACGTATATGTCGCCGTTCGTTCTATCGTATATTCGGTACCGCTATAATATTTTTATTTAAACATATATGTTTTTGTTGCACAGTCCCGTCATGCCTGGCCGCACTCGAACGGCATGTGTCAGATACAACAGATGTCGATTCATCGTATGAAACGTTCCGCAAGAATCAAATGGCTTATAAAACGTCCCATTACTATTCAAATTTCGAACGGCGGCGACAACAGCAACTAGTTCAAGCCACATTATTGAATAGTTCAATATCAACAGATGCAAATCTATCTCCGACAGCTTCATTTCATACACTAGCAGAAAACACATCTAAAACGGTACGAATACTAACATGGAATCCACATGATCCGATGATACGCCGATTGGAAAACAAACGCCAAGCGACTAGTCTATCTAGACATCTTTCAACATCAAACGCTGTTTAAAAGTTTGTTTTTTTCATTGTCAAAGTTCGTTTTTTGTCTCGTCGTCAAAATTCTAAAATATCGATCCAATACTATTTTTTTTCTCACTTCTATTTTATACCAAGCGAAAATCGATGCCTACACATAAATATCACGATACTAAATGGCATTTTTGAAAGATTATTTTTTTCTTCTGTGTTATCCAATGGCGCCATCAATATATATATATATATATATATCAGTCACTATATTGACAATAAGATAATTACATTGTTGTATACAGTGTGGAAAAAAATATAGAGGAAGAAAAGATATTAGTTAAAAGCTCGATGGTTTGTCTTCAAAATAGATCATGCATACACATAGCAGTTATTTGTATTCATGTCGCATTATTGTAAAAATAATAATAGAATCGTTTTCTGTTTGTACTCTATGCTCCTCGATGGAAAAAAGGTGGCGTAGACAATTTTTAATAAGCACAAGTGTTTCAAGTCTAGGAAAAAAAACATTACAGCATTTTTAGCTTGATTTATGACTGTTTTTTGCTTAGGCCTTTAGGGATGAATTGATTGCTGTGGTGGCAACTTGGAATTTTGATTAGTTCGAAGAGTTTAAATTAAGATAAACTGTTGTCGCATTATAGACTTGTCAATAGCTGTATATGTTAACAAGTAAACTATACTATTCGAACTGTCACGAAATCAATCTGCCATAAGTCAACTCTAATAATATGAAGCATCGTAGAAGCTAATTTCCGAGTCACATACGACATGAATTATCCATTAAAGATACACTACGTTTTTTTTAGATTAGAATTAGTTTTCTAGCTATAATTATCAGTCGGATGTAATGTTGAGAAGAAGAATCCGGCCGGACCTTCTATATCTCATCCGCGTACACTTGAAACTACTTAAGGTCAATAAGTAAAAGGAAAACCAACTCATTTTCCATTTTTTGCATTTAGACAAGTCAAACTTGCAGAAAGAAGTTACTATTCTTTCTTATCGAATCAATCCAACGATTTAAGCGCGTTCAATAATGAGTCTTCCGAGGATTAAATCTCTATTGCATTATCATTGATCATTCGAATTGTGATTGATCAGCATGTCCGTCCTACGGATGACCTTCGAAAACAGTCGAGCAGTTCAATTGACTTAAAATCGAAACAAAAATTTAAAAAAAATAGACTATAATTCGCACTTGCCCATTATATGCAAAATTAAAAAAACAATCGATCAATTTGAATGAACACTATTGAAAAAACAACGAACGTTGATTTAACCTTAGAATAAATCTGAATTTTTTTATTCTCTTAATTGATAATATATTCAGGTATACTTTCTCTCTCTCTCTCTCTGTATTGCTTTGCGAACTTCCGGATTGCACTTTCATATATATATATATATATGTATGTATTCAAACATAAGAGTCAACATACGATCGAGCACATCAAACCTATTCGACCAACGGCAATAATATTCAATTATTGTTTACACATGTGTATGTGACGGAAGAGAAAAGAAGAAGAAAAAAAAGAAATTAGCGAGTAAGGAAAACAGTTGACCATCGTGTCACATCAACAATCGCCATCATCATGGGACTTTTCTATTGTCTATTCATCTATCTATTATTTATGCAAACTTATCATGGAAAGATATTTGATGGTTGCCGATTTGTTCAAACATTCTATCGGAGACATTCGAATATATTCATACTTGATAGAAACCAAACATCATTAATCGTTCGACCATTATATGCACTATCGAATCAATCATTTCCTTCGCTTTCTATCGGAATTATTTATCGTTTAGCAGATACTTATCTTGTGCCTGTACCTCTTCTGTTCGAATGCCCACAAAGTCAACGTATTTATGCACCGATCGATTGTCAATTTACAATTAACGATGTTCGCGTAAGTTAGATATGACTAATCATATTTGAATGTGTCTGATGCTCATTATAATCTTACCGCTGTTTCGTGTTTATCATTTCTCACTTAGAAGTCGACTGATTTTTCTCTCGAATTCAAATGAACAACAACGTCTAGTCGTTTAATCTAAATAAAGATACTCGATTTTTCGGTCATCAATCAAATTTTAACGAGATATGATCTTTACAAATAACACCCTAATCGAAAATTAATATGTAGAGTCACCTGGTGTAATTCGAATCCGTAAAGAAAAAAATCGAGATTTGTTTTTGTCATTGATAATAGTATTCAAGACGGAAATCACTATTAGATACGGTAGCGTTGAGAAGTTGATAATTGAGAAGCAATCGCGAAAAACAAATAAATGAGTTACATATATTCATTTGTTTGCACTCAATGAATTGCTCGAGGGCTTAACAAATAGGTAACGGTATGTTGTGTTCTAATGTAATAGCTGAGAGGATTTGTTGGTCTATTGCTTTTTGATGAGTCTGTTATAAGTATTGATAGAACGCAATAAACATGCAGTCTTTGCGAAAGTAAAATTCTGACATAATAGCGAGTACGTAGTGGCTTCTTGATATTTCGGCTTTGAATTAGAAAAATAAATCAGATCGATTCTTTCTTTTGCTTTGGATTATACAGAGAATAACGGTATTTTATGGAACTCACGTTTATTATTTTTGAAAAAGATTAACAGTGAGAGAAAATCGAGGGTACTTGCCACTGCCCGTACCATAGAACGGAGAGATTTGAGATCTTTCGTGGAACGCGTATATATAAGATTTAGAGTTAAATGGTAAAACTAAATCATTTTTTTCCTTCAATAGGCAAATCTATCCATTCGAATCAGTGAATCAAGTCGTATAACGACGGTCCCACTTCGCTTTCAAGAGTATGCTTCATCAAGTTTTATTCCAATACGTGGCGCTTATTTCAAACAATCAACTATTGCTTTACGAAATTGTCGTTTGGACTCGAAAGAAAATCTGTTTACATCAGACATCTTTCATCTTCAGATTGAATTTGAACAAACAACAAATTCTTCATGTCAACATTCGTGTATTCATCCGGAACTATATGAATGTTCAAACACTTGTCAATGTCGTTCGCAACCATTTGGTATTGAAAAATTTGAACAATTTTGTATCGATACAGAACTCGGTTCTAATTGTTCTCTAACACCAGAACGTTGCCGTCGTATATGTCGTATTTCTGAACAAATTCAACGAGGAAGAATTGATTCCGATTGTCAATGTCCGTTGGGTATGCAGCGAGTTCTTTCAAACAATATGTATCATTGTGAATCTCCTGCGTCATCGAAATGTATGAATGAAAAATCTATCGAAACTTGTCCGACAGGTTATATTTGTCAACATCATCGTTGCGTACAAACATCAGCGATGGTTCGTTTGAACGAATCAATTCTATCACTACCATTTGTATTAATTGGTTTACTTAGCGGTGCTTTATTAATTATAATTCTACTGATTATTGGTTTAATAAAAATGCGTTCAATAAAATGTGTTAAGTTTGTTCATTCCTATGGATTACCGATTCATTCGAATAACTCATCGCCGATATTAAATGCCCATTTATCTTCATTATCATCTCCGTCTTCAACATTATCGTCGTCGTCAAAATCAATGAATAAAACCTGTGAAAAATATACTAAAATTCATTTATTTGAGTGATGAACATTTTCTTTTTGACTGTAGATAGGATTGTTATCATAGGAAATAAATCATTTATATTCATGAAAATCTGGTCATTAACACATAATGACTATCATATTGTTCAATATGGTAATACTTATGCACTTATATCACAGTAGGAAATCTAATATCTTAATACTGTAGCGAATTTTATTATTCTAATCAGCAAGGAACGTCATATCAGATGAAAATGTTTCATTCTAAACAAATAGATGCCAACTGTTAACATGTAATTAAAACCATTTTGCTCGTAGCTGAGGATAGACTAAGACGCAAAGGTCATTTGAAATAAAAATTCATACGAGACGGAAAACGCGCAGAAATGTTTTCGATGATTCAATTAAGCTTTCTATAGATAGACTTATTTTTGTTTACAAGCTAAAAGGATTATCATTAATATGATTAGTTATCTATATGACGAGCCACACAATTGTTTCTTTTGACAGCTTCAATGTCATTTCCTTCACAACATACATTCTAGTTGAATAAATAAGAAGAAAAGTTAGTTATTATATTTGTAAATATAGCCATGACCTTCGAATGTAAATCAGCAAAGCAAAGCAAGACAATTATTTCTTATCACCATATGCTGATGTTCGATTATTTTATCGTAACTATCCGTCTGCATTGACTCATATAGAAGAAGTAATTTACTACTTGTTATCAACGAATATTTACTTGCATTTAGATTGCCACAGACGCCTAGTGCGCTGAAGGTCATTGATTTATACCATATGAAATTGAACTACACAATCATTGAAATGATTAGATTTTCTTTTCCCATAAACTCGATAGAGAAAGCTTCTTCATACAAAACCCAATATGTCAATATGCTGATAATCAAATAATTTAAGTCGATTTCATTATGTATGGTAAACCTTCATCAGACTTAATAGGTCATATGTTTTACACTGGATTCACTTATTTATTTTGAAAATCATATATTTAAATCAAGTCAACGGAGATTCCTATTAATAATCCTTCAATATATTTATTCCTTTCCATTGATCTATACAGGCTGCATCACTCGAACGTCATTCATCTGGCCAAGGTCAATAGGCTCTAACTTTGCTGCTTGCAGGAGCAAATTTCTTTTTACAAAACACAAGAAAAAGAAAAAACTGATTCTTGTTAATGGTCTGTTGATAATTAGATATGTTCAAAAAATGACTATACACGTTTTTGTAAAGAAAAATCGAGTAGTTCTTTCTACTCGGAAAAGTATGCTCTTAAAGTTTAATTATAAAATCTCTATTGTTCATAAGATTAAATCAATGGGTTAAATAAAGTAAATAGAAATCATTGGTAAATATATTGATTTTGCAAAGGACACCAGCTTAGAGATAAAATGATTTTTATTGGAGTAAACAGCAGGTGATGTAGAAAAGAAATTTGTTTATGGAAGAATAAACATAAATGGTCTTATCAATCGTCACACAAACTTGTTGTTCGTCTGTCTCTTTTTTTGTTCTTTGTTGAAGATGATTAGACTTGATCGTATTTCGGCTTTTGCATTGAAATCTCTACTCTAGCTTAATTTAGTTGTCGTAGTCTTTTTCTTTCTGTTTCACCCTTCAAGTACTAGATGGAAAGATAGAAGCAGAAGAAGAAGAAGAAGATAATATTGTTACGAAGAATGATCCCGATAGGCTTCTTCACGTCAACAGCCATTGTGATAGCAGAGACAGCTCTTGCTCACCAACGCTCTTTCTTTCTTTCTTTTTGTTCTTCTCGTCTTATAATTGACAAAAATGCAAATCAATATTCTACTCTCAAACATATAGACGAACATCGTAAATGGTGGTGATGATGTGTTGGATAGAATTCTACTAGGAAGCCAATGATGATAGTGATGATGACTTAACCTTCGTCAAATAGGGAACCACTTTTTTCTATTATCTCATGATGAAGAAGAACGTGTGTATTGATGCATATATATGGCTAATCAGGAGCACATTTATATGTATTGCTGATGATATGACCGAATTGATCGATAGAATGACAAGTATGTAGCAATTGCTCTCTCAGCCTTTCTCTCTATTTCGAATCAACAGATGCCATTTAGACGAGTGGTTATGACTATATGTGTATACGCAAGTGTGTGCATGTATGTATGTAACTATATATGTATGATTGACGCCGTTATTCGTTCTTCCCGTTGTGACAGTAGCAAAAGCATGTGAATGAATCTTTACGAACTATGCCTCTTAACCACATATGCAGGTTTCTTTATATTCGTTCTCTTCTTCTACGTTTCTCTCGGTACACGATCAAGCGCATAGCCACTGTAGAGTATTTTGAGTGCGTGTATACATTGAGCGAGTAAAAGAAAGAAGATCCCTTGTTATGTATTTCTTTTTGAGATCGAGAGAGAGAGAGAGAGAGAGAGAAAGAGAAAGAAGCAAGTACAAGATAATGTTTCGTTTCTTATCAATCGTATTCATCCCATCTATTCTCCCCCTCTCTCGTTTTTTTTGTCAGGCAGTCGATATGTATGCATGCGTCTGATGTCTTATATCATTTTTAGCGCGATTTAGATTGTAGACAAAGTGGTAGCTACAGCGGTAATATTGTCAATTGGACTATGACACCTAGTCATTAACAAGAGTATGCCAATAATGAAAAAGGTCTATATCATGACGATAGAAATCGTTTGACTTCATCTGGTAAGACAAAGAAAAGAACAAGATGCTAAACGCTTCGGAGTTCAATCCGAATTGAATGTCAACCGTTTCATTTTAAATTCAATTCTTACGATATATAAATTCAAGCAAATTATCTATCGCTAAATTTACTTCTAGTGCCAGATCATTTTACAGATCTCCATCCCGTTTTTTAAGTTAATCTTCTTGTTGAATATAATGTCGTGTTTGCTTCTCTTCTACTTTTTTCTCTCTTCTTTTTCTTCTTGTATACAGATTTGCAACCTGCGCCGATATCGGATCACAATTTGAGTGCATTCGATGAATTGTCACATCAATGTAATGCTGTTCTATATTGATCAAATAGAGAAGAAAAAACTTCAATATCAACAATAGATAGTAACAACGACTCATTCATCTTATCTAATGTCGACAGCAATCATCAACGATTATGAGCGACGTTTTCAACGTTCACTACAGAAATTAACCATACCATCATGGTATACAGATACAACTCCGTCATTAAGTATATTCAATAATAGTAAACAATCGATTAATTCATCATCTCTGATGCCATGGAAAGCGGATGATAAAGAAACTCAACGTATTCCTGAAGTATTCTATGTACGCTTTCCACACAGTTCTCGTTCATGTCGATCGTCAATAGCAACATCGCCATCACCGTCTGTTCATTCTTGGCATCCAAATTATATTATGGAAGGTTCTCGACGACAGAAAAAATATCAAAAAGGCATTGAACGTGTTTCCAAAGCAAGTCGTTGGTATCAGCCGACTCAATTTATTGTAAATGAAACAACAAATATTCCGACAGGTAAATGGTATTGATATAGATGTGAGTTTAAAGCACGAGAAACCGACAATCAATCATTGTCATCGGTATATCGTAATTAGAAAATAATGAGAAAAAGAAAAGAAAAATTTCTTCTATTTACTTGATGTTCTTTGCGCATTATTACAAGGACATACGAACTAACTGTATGGTTTCTTCATAAAATTGTCGATTAACAGATCTTTATCAATAGCTAGTACGCTTGCTAGACATGTGTGATTGCGTCTCATGTCGGCAACATATGTGCAAAAAGAAAAAGAAAACGAAGAACTATACTTAGTCTTCCATTCTCTTTTCACTTAGGTCTCGGCTTTATTGTGTGTAAGGGATACGATGTCGTACGAGATTAAATCAAAAGAAACATTGAGTTGTACGTATGATTTAATGGTATGATTAAGCTGGACATTAGTTTATCAGATGACAAACTTCGATTTTCTATCGTTGATACAACAAAGGGGAAAAGGTTATCTTTGAGAAATGGACATTTCATCGACAAAACTACTATATATTGTATTCAACGAATAGAATTTCTTTTATCATAAAAACTTCATGACCTTTTCAATGGCAGCCGTCTGTCACATTTGTTGTCTTTGTAGAACTTATCAATAATCAAAGACAGTCCCTGACTGTCTGTCCTTATGTGTTTTTTCTTTATTCATCACAAATTTCCATTTATCTTCCTGATCTAATCATCAACGAACATGATTTTCTAATAAATAAAATAAAACGAAAGGCAATAGAAATCGAGAAATATATTTAATTATGAGTAACACTTAAAAACAAAAGGAAAACTTTTCTTTTCTTCACACTTATTATAAACAATCCTATCTTGTCGATCTATTTCTTTGATATTAATTAAACGCGATGGCTTCATTTCAATGATGAAGCAAACAACAAGCGTGCGCCATACACATACGTACTTCTCCATATGCGCACACAAAAAGAAAAGCATGCAATATGTGCACCAACTGTGTGTTCTTACGTTTTTCAAGGACTATCGAATGATGAAAAGAAAGCTTTCTTTTTTTTACAGGTAAAATAAAAGTATCAACATCATACAAACGCAAACAACAATCAGCTAAAAACATTCATCACGATACACCAAAAATTCAGCATAATGATGAAAGTTTAATATTAAAATCAAACCATTTGGTAGCTAATAGTGATGTTGAAAAAAACACTGTCAGCGAGCCAACAACGACTATGATTACATGCGAAAAGGTTCGTTTATATACCGATTTTCTTTCTTCATCTCTCTTCTTCTTTTTATGCATATAAAACGAACAAGATGAAAAGTAGCTTTGCTATTAATTGTTTTTGTCTTCTAGCAACACGGCAATCATATTAAATCAAATGAATCTCAAATAATGCCGTTGGCAATGTGAGAAAAATCAATTTTGATTTGTAGAACTGAGTCTTTTTATTTTTTATTGTTTTGTAGTACAAAAGAACTCTCCAGTTGTATTGAATTAGAAGTAGCAGCTGATGAAGAACATGGCAATCGATCATTATCAATGAGCAACAACAAACTTATACCATCCATTACAAACATACCATTGTCTATCGAAAATAATGATGAAAACGATTTATTAGAACGTATCGCAAATGATTTAGTTGAATCAGTTCTTTCGGATATATTCATTTCGAAAATTTTCTACGATGAAGATGATTCAAATAGTGGTGTGAGAGAATTGTCCGAAGATGAAAGCGGACTTAGAGAATTAGATGAAGATGATATGAATGATACCGATGAATTCATTGTTTTTCCCACACAATTATCACTAGAAGACGATGATCCAACATCGAATGTTCCAAAATGTAGTCTTAATAAGTTATATACATTTTCGAAAACAAATCACATTGGTTCTGATAATTCGAAGCAAACGACCCCAAGTCAGGTACGTGTGAATAAAGTTTCAATACTATTCCTAAATCCTCACGATTCTAGTAAAAAAACCTGCTGCTAAGTAAAAAGAAAAGAACAGTTGATACATTGCAAGTAATCGTTAGACAAATAACCCGCTGTGAACTATCTATTTGCTTTTTGTCTTGTCTGATGCGTGCACAATGCCATCTGTGTTCTTTACAAGGATAATTTAGATATGTTTGGTGTACGTGTCAATCTGTTACAATTAACAAACGCTTTGATGAATATACGTCACAAGGTTTATATACATACATATATATATATATATATATATGTATTTTTTTCATCGTTTCGTCTATTTGATCGTTGTTAGTATTTCGTGCTTTCGTCTATGCTTTGTGATGAGAACTATCAAGTTCAAGGAAATCTGTTCCTATTGATGTACCTACATATAGTTATATATTGTAAATGATTGTTTCTTGTCCAAGAAAAGCTAGATGAAGGACAAAAAACTATATTATAATGATCCTTGAAGAAATTGTCATTTATTTTATTTTTGTTTATTCACAGAACTCACCAACATCGACACTTGAGAAAGACGTTTTAGCAACTGATTTTCAATCGCATTCAACCATCGAGCAATCATTCGATAAACTTTGTATTTCATCTCCACAATTTAGTGCCGTCGACGAAATAGATTGTCCTTCAAACAATCAATTAGCAAAATATCAATTATCAAAAGAAGGTGTTAATGAAGAAACAGCAAGAATCGGCCGACTACTACTCAATAGTATGCCAACGACCTTTATTGAAGATATTCATAATCTGTAATTTTATACTCGTTTTTGATTTTCTTTGTCAATTTATAAATCCTATATAAATATCTGTTTTAGTTCGCAGCCTCCAATATTCACATTGAAAACTAATTGTTTGATGATATCCGAAAAAGAAGATATTTATGATTCACCACGAAAAGATTATCATGAAATTCAACGAGGAATTGTCGAAGAATTCGATGAAGGTATTATCATGTCTCTATAGTAGATTATCCATTACATACTTTTTTTTCTCTTCTCGCATAGAATTAAATGATGAAGTTCTTGGTGATTCAGCTTATTCAAGTAATCAAGAACGAATCAATATTCAACAATTACTTTATGAACCTTTATCAGAATGTTTCTCTGGTTTTTCGTTTATTCAAAGTGACTTTTTAACTCCAAATATTTCATCACTACAATCAACAACCGACGAAGCCTATGAATCCGAGCCGACAACAATGAGTTCATCCCTAGCAATAACCACTTATATTCATCCGAATCTCGAACATGAATTCGAATATCCATCCCCACCACCACCTGTACCTGATCGACGACTTAAACCTGATTATTTAAAAAATGTATCTACACCAAAATCTCGATTAACCAAACAAGAGAGCATCGATTCCGTTGAATATAGTCTGATCGAAAAATCTAAACCTTTACCACCACCGCCAACAACTATTCAACAAATAATTGCTCCGATAGCAAGCGATTCAAATTTATCTTCAAAACGAACTGCCAGTAGTCGACACTATTGTGGTTCAATACCGGTATCCGATAAACTATGTACAGAGTCAACTTTAACGAAATCGAAAGAAGATACCCACGATAAAACTAAAGAAAAACGAAATACTCGAGTACTGAATTGTTTACACCCGTCAACCGCCGATGATGATGACCATCGTAAACGAACTCCGATATCAAAATCCCCATCAACATCATTGCATAGATTGAAAACAAAAAAACATAAATTAGTCACAGATTTCGATGAGGCTACTAATGGTTTAGCGATACGTCTGCCAGCGCCCACCACGAATTTACAGGATTCAACTAACAAACAAAATCTCAATAGGTTAGTTTATTTCTTTTTCAAAGCGAATTGAATTCTAAAGAATACTTTCTTTTTCAGAATCACAACAAAACGAGCCAATGGAATCACTAAAGAGAAACACATAATAGATCATGTAGGTTCTGTTTTTCTGTCATGTGATTTTAGTTTGTTAAAGAATTCGTTTTATTTCTAGATCAAATCAGATCGAAGACTCTATTATGAAACATCGGTGTAGCCTGAATACTTTCATTTGCTCGTATTTGCCTAGGAACGTGATTCCATGTTTTTGAATATCATCGTGTGATAAACAAAGACATTTAACATATTCAGTTCTCGAGTAATCAAACCTGTGTCGGTTTATTTCTTTTGTAGATGTTTTTTTTCTCTTTTTAATGATATTTTCGTTTTCTATCGAGCGTGTATGTTTCTTTTGTACTATACATTAGAATTGTGCACTGATGATGATCAAATCGATAACTTAATTCATTTAATTATAAAGGTTGCAGTGGGATGCGGAACTACGTCTTAGATATAATTTTGTCTTAAATAAGGGCCGTGGTTTGCATTTTCGTTCGAAAATTTGAAGTAAGACATGGTAACAAGTTTCATCGTCATCTTCCTTCTATTTTTGATTTACTCTCTAACAATAATGTCACGGCGTGTGATACGTAGATATCAGCGTTGCTCAGATGTCGCGTGTGAGAAGGACATTGTAGTGTCTCGCCATCTGTATTACCATCGTTTTACTGCTAATTGTTGTTTATCTATTTCACGGTGTCTTTGATTTTATCAATTTACACGCTCGCAATCGTGACATGTTTATTTTTATGAGTGAGTGAAGGTTAGAAAAATAACTGATATCGTGAAGTTCTATGTGTTTGATCGAGCTTCCTACACATTCAGACATCTCTGGTCGGAAGCGAAGTTCTACGTGTTGTATTTCACGTTTTATGAATTCATGTCGTTTCTCTTAATGTCATTTTTTACTTGAAAACTAAGTTCATTGTATGATTTTCTTCGTGTATAAAGTGTACTCAGACATACTATGTATAAAACAAGTCAAAAAGTAATTACGCCCCATGTGAATTCACGTTCAAGAGCGAGAGACCTTTTGAGAGCGGAAAGAAATTGTTTGTAAGGCCAAAGATCATTCATAATTAAGTGTTGTGCAGTGGTAGAAGTTTTTTTTAATCTATTGTGAAATGAAGTTGATATGTACGTATACGTTAAAATATTACACTCGAAGCAAAAAAAAAGAACCTATTCCTAAGGTTTCTCATACGACAATGAAGTGTTAGAACCTATTAAATTTGTTAAAAAATGAATATTTACTTTACTATAATTGCAATTTTCTTAATCAAACAAAAACTTAAAGTTATAAAAATGATTAGTAAAAAGAGAAGCGATATTTGCCAGAAGCAGGAGACGATTATATTAGTTATGATTAAATTAAAATTCTTATAAATGAAGCAACTATTGCGATATTGATTTGACTAAAATAATACTGAAGTCTCGACATATCATTCTATCAAAGCAGGGCTACCATTTCTTAGTTATTTTCAGAAAAACTGGCTATATTTTCTGTAACAAAAATATTCAATTCACTCTATTTTTAATTCGATCTCTTGATGAGGTCTCTTCAACAAGTTTCGGTACATTGAAGTGAATAATTACGAAAATCGCCTAGCCCCTTATTTTTTTTCGAAATGATGGTTCATGTGCACAATTCAAATTGAAATCATGTACCCCATTGTATGCACCATTACTAGTTTTTTTTTTGTATGATATAATCGCGGTGTCAAATAGAATTCAGTATCTTTTCTCACGTGTTGACACACCGACGAAGAGAGCGTGAAAATTTCTACAATTTGACCTGTAAATTAAGATAATTATGTATTAAAATATTTCAGGTAAATGTTTGGCTCCGAAAAGAAAATATAGTAGATTTTAGTGTAATAGAAAAAGTGATCCAGATGAAGTCTAGATTTGATGTAATGATTAAATGTGGCTTAAAATATTGATTGAGATTAAAAACTAACATGATGAAAACGAAAAAGTCGTGCTTGCACAGGGGGGCGATTTAGGCTGTTAATGTTCCCAGGTCGTAGAAGTACGGTGAGAAACAGCCGGAAAGCACGGGAAATCGCTGGACAGTGGAAGCAGTATTTCGACCGGAAATTACTAGATTTTTTCCTATGGATTCTGGTCAGTTTCCTGTGCTCTCCGGCAAGATACTGTAATTTTTCCGCATCTTTCCGGCTCGGTTCCTACGGTATCCGTCCTCCGGAATCATTGACCTGGGTTCCCGTCCTTTATTCTGAATTTAATATACAATGAAACTAATAAGAGAAAGAATATGATCATCGTTGGTTTTATTTCAATTCATCATAACACTTAAACATGAAAAGGTGTAATCTAACTCAACGGTGTGAATGTATTCTAAAAATAAACAGGAATTAAATCAAATAATTTAAAGGCAGTACGATATCTTAAATGTGATTGATGTCACACTATTCAAAGCGTTAGTACTATAATGATATTTACCAAGAGATTGCGTTCAGCTACAGATCTAGATGATGAATAAAAGTCATATGATCAATATTACTTGAAAATTCAATTAAAATCCATCGCAGCCCTCGGTATAATATGAATGACTAAAAAGAACTCTTCGAAATACTAATCAGAACTTGCTGTGCTACATATCTTAACTTTGTAAAAAAAAGAGAATTTTTTCCTATCATCGATAAATAGATAAATTCCTAGAATAACAAGAGGATATATTAATCGATATGATTTCATATCACTTCGACATGTGATTTTATTGAAAATGAAGCTGGTGCACAAAAAATAACTTAACATTTTTTCTATCCACATCCACAGTAGTATCATATCTTCTTGTAAGCTGCCGAAAAGATGTAGTCATTTTAATGTTATAAAGATAACGATTTTATTTAGATTTTTTCTTTATCATAAAGTAAAAAAAATAAAGTGACGCCCCTATACAGAAATGTTTTTTTTCATTCTTTTATTTCCCACTGACGTTTATTGACCTTGACTCAGACTCATGTTATTTTTGTGTATAGATGTGTACGAAATCATAAGAAAAATTCCCTTTTTTGCAAATTTTTCGCTGACAGTCTCAAAAATACACCTATCAACGTTAGCATATTCAAGACATGACAAATGCAGTGATTACTTCCAAACAATGTTTTATATGTAAAAAAGAGAAATCCAACTTATACCCATGCGAAGGTTGCTCAGAAAAATTTTGTAACATAGATTACCAAAACATCATCAAGAGCATGTAGTCTGGTATGAAAATGGTCCTCCTTTTTCTCCTTTTGTGAAACACGACCTGAAAGGAGTGTTGAAATGTTTAGGGTAGAAATTTGCACCCCCCCCCTAT